TGTTTGAAGGCTAAATTTGAAATTCTAAATTTTAGTTCTCGAATGGTTTTTTTACCGTGTTAAAATTGACGTCAGTTAAGCTAGTTCCAATGTGAAGTGAATACTGTAACATTTCGGTCTTGCTATTTATTTCACTAATGTCCTTTTCGGAGTAAAATATTAAGTTTGGTTGATGTGATTTTACGAGTTCCACCTTTGTTTATTATCGATTGAGTTATTCCGCATTGGACTTGGTCTATCCCAAGTGGAAGATCAAAATTCGAAAGAAAGTGGGTTTATTGCCGGAACAGATGAAGCTAGGACACATTACAATGAATCAATCCCCCCAGATTCATATGATCGTGATGTTCTACCTTACAAATTTTTTGTTTATTACCTTCGTGAAAGTTATATCATCACTGTTAGGTAAGTAGCCTATATATAATAAGTTAATCATGTTTAAGTACCTAAGCTAGGTCTACTTGGTACAGTACAAGTTGATATAAAGAAACCCCAAGGACTAAAAGTTTATAATTTGTTAGTAGGCTACACATTCAGAATAAGAAGTTTAAAATTATATTCAACTACATTAATAAATACTATTTTTTCAGGATGTATTGCCGCATCATGTGTGTTCATGTTGTGGATAAAACATCTGGTCATCGTGTACATGTACCTGATCTCCGTCGGTATCGTTTTATCTCCTACTGGATCAACGTCAGCACCATGAAGATAATCATATCTAACACACAAAGCAGTGTTTTAGAAGATATTTTATCGTTAAATCTAAACGCAATATCGGATGCCAATGGCAGCTTTATGGCACTTCTTCAGAATTATCTTATACAAATAGTTTTGGCATATGTTTTCTCGTGCGTTCATCTCGGGCCTCGATACTCTATTTTGAAACGACTACTGCCCCTTAGCTTTCTCGCTCCTTCAGCACTTGCAATGTTGCCTTTACCATCAGCTGTTTTGTACCATGCTCCTGTTTTCTCAGCTTTGTTGCCTTTGGCTACGGTTAAGTTTGTTCTATGGTGCAGTGCTTATCCCATTTTCCAAACTTTGTATGGGGCCTACCAACACGCAAAAAGTTTCATAAGGTAAGTAGGCTACCTTCAATTATCTCCCATACCAAAATTCTAATATAGGCCTAAGGATGTAGCTTAGAGCTCTAGGGCCTAGGTTTTTAGCATTTTGTGGGAATAGCAGGCTTACCTAAATGGTTAAGAGTCCAAACGAGTACGAGAAACAAAAGTTTACATAGGCCTAATACACACACGTACCGGTGCTTTAAAATTTGTACAGTGTCAAGTTTTGAGTTTCTTGTAGGCCTACCAGTTTTCAGGTAGGTCCTAAGCCTGCTTATCCCAAAAAATCGTGGCCTACAAACAAACAAATAGGCCTAAAAACAAACTTAGTTTTGCATCCATTCCTTCAGAGTAGAAGTTGAGCATTTGCGTTTACAGCCGGAATAAAAGAATAGAGAATGCTTCTCAATCTTGAATAAAGAAATTAGCCTAAGCCTAAAAAAATCATACCCCTAATATTTTTTTCCCTAAGTTTGTATTCATATTTTGTGGCCATTTTGTTTAGGCTTAGCCTAATAATTTTATATTTTTCTTTATGCTTTGTTGTATGCTTATATTAACCTTCACCTACCGTTGAAATAAAAAAGAGATGCAGTACCTACCTAAAGTTAAATTCTTGTTTAGGGTACTTTACTTATTTTGTCGACAGCAAATTTGTGTCCGCAATCTAATCTTGCGTTATCCTTTGCAGCAACTTTGGTCTGTCCGCGCTGGTTGAGACAGAGTGGTTGAGGCTGAATGTGCCCTGTGTGCTACGTACTTTCTGGCTTCTGAGGGTGGGAGAGCAGGCGGGAGGTATGCTGTTTGCTACGTGGCGACAGACCAACCCTCCCTGGCCGTTCTTACTCTCAACCGTCAAGTCTCTGCTGATCTCCGGGTGTGAGACGCTCACTGCTGTACTCGGCATGACCTCGGTCATTTCGTACGTGTGTCACTACATCGGCTGCTTCTTCCAGTGGGTATGTAACGTTATTCATGTTTTTGAGTTTACTTTATTACCGTACCTTTTGTTGAGCCAAGCAAACCAGTTTAAATCTGACTGCGTTCGATTCCCAAACTAACTGGTGTCAAATTTGAACTAGCTCATTAATTCGGCAGTGACAGAAGTTTTTTATAGGTCGAATGCACATTTTTTGCAATAGATGACCCTTGTTTCCCTAAGCTAACCGACAACCAATGTTTTTGTATTACTTTTGTACCCTGGCTTTGATTCTTGAACATGCATAATCTTTAGATTATTTTAGATGATTTTATTTTTTCACCCTCCCCCTTTTTTGTGATTCTATAAATCAAGTAAGTTAATGCAATGACTGTTTTTTCATCATGTTCAAGTTTGAGTTTATTTTGGAAATACTTATAATTATGCCTAAACATCTTAAACATGTTTAGATTTTTTTCATTTTAAAGGGTAACCAACCCAATTAATTGAGCCCTTTTGATTTCTTTGTACGTAGGTCTACTAGTTTTTATTCTATTCAACCCAAACAAGAAGACACGTCTCCCAAGACCCTTTAAAATTGACTTTTTGATCCTAGAAGATTCTCAAAATATTACTTGGTAATCATCAACAACCAGGAAATTCTAAACCACTTCTCAATTTTCCATTTAAAAAAATTACAGAGTTGTACCGGAAGTACCCATAGGTTTTGGAGCTTTCAAGTTTAATAAATACAGTACCTATTCAATTTAGGCCTATTTAGGATGTTTAAGTGTACAGTGAAATGTCTCTTATCGATGGCCAATAACTCAACCTCAGTACTTTTGTTTAAACTAAATCCTTTACACCTTTATTACATTTTACCCTTAAAAAACTGAAAGTACTACGCTATGAAATTGTTACTATTTCTGAGATTGTATACAGTATTTGCTCAATGTGAGATATCCTCAAGCACTGTCTGATAGCAAGAATTAACAAATCAAAGTGTAAACAATTGTTAATTAGTCTCCTAAAGTAACGACTCCGTAATTACCTTTCATCAAAGTACATAATAGTTATAATGACTAAAATAGTTTACAATAAAAGTACCTATATATCACAGTTTTATGAAAAAATTGTATTATATCTAACCTGGAATCGCCAAAAATTTTTTTTTTTTTATTAAAAATTGTAGTTGTGAATAAAGTTCATAACTGTTTATCAATTAATTGTAACCTTCTGCAAACGTTAAGAAAAAAGTAGATATGAGCATGAGTCAGCAGCTTTGTAAACATCCTTGTTTTGTGAAGATAGAGTCATTAAGTCAAGGCCGTTTCTACTAGGCGAGTAATTATTTTAGTGATTTGTTTTCTACTACTGAATCTACCCTTGAATAACCATATTCATCACTAATTAAAGACAAAGTAATGAAATTGACCAGTTAAAAATTGAATACAACAGTTTTAGAACCATATATGTTTAGTAGCTGGAAATTCAATATGTGAACAGTTGATAAGGTTTCAGTTGATAACACTTTCAACCAACAGCTGATTGTTTTGTTTTAAATTTAATTATTTACCAAATTTCTATTTTAGCAAAATTGTGTTGCTCTTGAGTACGGTAATTTAAAGTTAAATTCAAATTAACTTAATTAATTAAGTTTAATTCAAAATTCAAAGTTAAAACAGCTGTATTGGACTAATTGGAAATTGACTAATAATTACAGCAGCTGTCCTCAGTTGACAGGCTTTTAATTAATGATTATCACTGATGAATCAGCTGATCTTGGTTATTAAGAAAGCTATCATTTATTTCATTCTGCGTCTTGGTATTGTGTTAAACCGGAAACTCAAACTAGGCTAATTTGTTTAAAGTATCAGATATCAGACCCTATGTCACGTGATGTTCTAATGTTTTTAGGTTTACGCAAAAACTTGTGAGAGTCAATGAACTTAATCAGATTTAGTTTAGCCTTCAATAAACATTGTTTAAATGTGCTTTTTCTAATATTTTTGAACTAAAAAAAATGCCGTAGAGGCCTATGATGCCGAACTAGGCCTAACTGAGAACCCTGTTCGGACTAACAGAAATTTGTCAGATTTTGCAGATTTCTGTACAAACTGGTCATCGCAATTGCGGATGATGTCCATGGCTTTTCCTCTATCTCAGAGACAATTATAATATCTCTGTGGCCGTGGAAAATGTTGAAAATTTCAAAGAAAAATTGAAATTTTTGAAAAATTGGCCTTGGACGATTTTTCCAATACCACAGAAAGCTTTTGATTTCTTGATCGCAGAAAAAGTCCTTGAAGCTGTGCCATCAAAAGCTGTGTTGACGTCTTATAATAATTTCGGAACTTAAGTTTAGAATAGGTGGAATTTTGGAATAGCGAGGTCTGAAGAGTGGGGACTGTACTGTAGGTAGCCAATTTGTTCGTTATAAAAACATTTTAAGTTCCTTTACCAAACTAATATGTTAGTTTTACTTTTATTTTCATTAATTTGTTTAAAGCTAACAGAAGAAAGTTAACTAACCTGCCAATAAATTTTGTTAACAAACTTTTTAAGGTTATTCTAAAGATCAAGACCCACACATTTTACCAAATGTAAACTAACTTGTTTTAGCTACTATATGTGTGGGAGTACTTTTATGACAAGTTTTATAGTTTCCATAATAGTTTCCAGTAAAACCTCGCTACAGTATTTTACAAAATCTCTGTAGTTACAAAGAATTAAGCATAACAATCACTAAGTATATCTTATATCTTAAGTCTTATCTAAGTATATTATATCTTATCACTGTTACGACAGGTACTGCTGACAGAAGATGACGATGATAAGAGTATTGGTACTGTGTCGGCCATCTTGTTTTACATCCTCGCTCTACAGACAGGTCTCACAGGCCTCGAACCAGAAAAAAGGTATAAAATTGAGTTGAAAAACTTTCCTCTGTGTTACTATTATTATATTTGACTATTGTTGCAAATGGGTATCCAGGTGATTATTTTAATTAACAATTAATTGATCACATGTTCTTTGTTTACATTTTCAATTACTGCTTCTTTGGTACATTGTTATAGTTGTTACGCTTGATTAATTATGTTTGATTAAAATGGGAAAAAATTGTTCTTTGTTTTTAGTTATTTACAGTAATTTTGCTATATCTTAGAATCAAGCTCTCATTCTAACAAATATTGACAGAAGCAGACATTCCTACGCACGCCTACGCACAGGCTTCCAGCCCATGTAGGCTTATTTCCTTAATGTATATGTCAACATAGCTTCTCTGAGACCTTACATCCTTTGTTGTTATTATTAAGTTTACATGTATTTTTATATTTAATTATTTTTATCTATGCAATAGCAATCTGTTTCACTGGAAGTTATGTTATAATTTATATTCTGTAATATTTTTGGAAATAAAAGTACACATGTATATACATACATGTGTACTTTTATTTCCAAAAATATAGATAGTATGTATGTATTCAATTCCTATGTTTTGTTATGAATTCTGGAATAAATATGAAGATGAATTCAACCTCCAACAGAGTAGGCTAATCAATCAATTAATGATCCGTTGCAGGGGCGCACCCAGACTTTTGATTTGGGGGGGGCTTCTTATGTATGCTTGCCGGGGGGTCTGGGGGGTATGGAATACCCCCCAGGTAGGCGGGGGGAACGGGGGTCCACCCCCGGAAAAATTTTGAAAACTATACCTGTAAACCCACGTTTTTAGGCTATTTAGGGACAAATAAAAGAGATTTTTTGATCGGATTTTTGGATGTTTTTAGTATTAGTAGTATTACTATATTGGAATAAAGGAATGGATATTACATTGCCGTCAGGTAATTTAGTAAGCTAAAACCAACTATCTCATTAATTTACATGTGATATTGAATGTTATACAAAAAACAATATTGGTATTTAAGAAATAAATAATACAATTATAATTTTAGCAGTGTAAATATAAATAAATACACGTGAATAAAAAATCTGACAGTAAAATAATCTGTATCAGCTGTTTTTGTTAACTTCAGCTACAAAATAGTATTACGTTACTAGCCCGGTAAGTGGTGTTTACCGTGCGAGCGCGACAATTACCGCACGAGACGTAGCAGAGTGCGGGATTTTCGTGCGAATACGTTAAAGACGGTGACACACTATTGATCTTTTCTCCGAACAAGACCCCGAACCGAGCAGGGAGACGGGAGGTCGAAGTGTGTCAGGGGTCCGTACACCGATCCAGACGGCGAACCAGACATCAGGCCGAGCAGGGAGACGAGCGCTCTAGAGGCGGTTTTTTTGTCGAAAGATCAAAGAGTAGATCGGTTTGATGTACGGAGTGATGTACGATAGCATAGATAAAACATACTCCCTTGTGTTGGTTAGTCTATGACGATAGTGTGTCACGGTATATTTTTGCCCCGTACATCGTCGCGAGCGCCGCACCGAGCGGCCGCCTGCGCTAGCGTTGATAGTTCTAATTTAATATGGCAATTACACTCTTTAATTGCTAAAATAAATAAATGTTGGGTAATATTTTGCCGTTATATATTATGGAAATTTATGTTGTAATTTTGTCTTGTGTTTGGTCAAAGTTGAAAATGTATTTTAAAAGTTGAAACCGTTAAATCAATGATATCGGTACCAATGATGTTTAACTTGAATTAAGTAATTGATGTTATACTTTAATTCATTCAAAATTAATATAAACATAAAACTTGTGAAAGGCAATCGAAACTATCATTCTGTAACATTTTATTTTATTTCATGTTTTATTACTGTTTTATTATTACCGCCTACGCGCTCTCACTCACACACGCTCTCCATCTCTCTCTAAACTCCCTTTTACCGCGGTCGGTAGAACTTGTCTGGTCTTGGTCTTGTTCGGGACTTCAAGGAAATGTTCGGATTGAAAATTTGCAGATTTTTACCTCCCTTCTCCCTGCTCGATTTGGGGTCTTATTCGGGGAAAAAAAGGAAAAAATCCAAAATTCAACGATGTCAACAAAACAGCACATAGTGCGAGCGCGTCAAGGTCAAGTGATCATTGGAGTAACTAGAACTAGCGGCGCTAGTCTAGCCTAGCGCTGGTCGCTAATGGCAACGGCACATAGGCAGTGGCAGTGCAGTAGCATTGACAATCACTAGTCACTACACTATGAGGCAGGCGGGTGAGCCGTTCTGTCTCTTTTTGTCTACATAGGCCTAAAAAATACTCGTTACAAAACGCGTGCTCCTGGCTGTATTTAATTTAAATCCTGTTGTAAGAATAGTTTTAAAGTTAATGATATTTTAAAAATTACATTCTGAAATTACAAATGAAACATTTATGTATATACTGCTGACTCCTGGCCATCGAAAAAAATTAACCCTAGGTCCTTGGGGGGGGCTTAAGCCCCCAAAGCCCCCTCCTGGGTGCGCCACTGATCCGTTGATTACGGAGTAGTTTAACAGCTATAGTTCGGCCGCTTAGAAAACGACCTGCGCCCTAAATACTAAACCAATGCTGGAGGAGGTCGCTTTCTAAGCGGCCGAACTATAGTGGTGAATTTATTGATTGGAGCCGGATGTGCATACATACTATTTTTATTAGCGAAATAACTATACCAATCAGGATAATAATGTCTGGTCATTCATCATAGATTATGACATAGAATAATGTGAACGAATATTCTAACATGAAGCGATCTATTGTTTAAATGTTTTAATGCATAACTTTGAATAGACAATCTATAGCCGAGTATTCCTAGGTGCGGAAGTGGAACGTGTAACGCAGAGAGCGTACGCTACTTGTCTTAGGCAATTTAATGTTACTGTTTTCCTAGATGCGGAGCAGAACACCATGTTAATCTCTTTTCCGCTCTCCGCACTCCTTATCCGCGCCTAGGAAAACCTTTAATTTGATATTGTAAAGATTGTGTCAATTAGGATGGCACTTTTCAACCTAAACATATATCTTTTTATTTCATCACTTAGAACCTGAAAAACCTTGTTTTTTTAACAAATTTCCGTTATCCGAAATCCATTTCCCCCCCTTTATTACAGAATAACTGAGCTGTTCTGCTGTACCTATTGTATTTCTAATATGCAATAGAGAAACTTTTTGATCTCATTAAGGAGTGATGTATGAAGAAAGTGTTTTTGTTGCTAAAACTGTACCGTACTTTGTTACCAGGTTTGTGAGGCTATGTCGCAACTTCTGTTTACTTTTCACGGCTTTGCTGCACTTCATTCACAACATTGTCAACCCCTTACTGATGTCTTTGAGTGCTTCTCACAATCCCTGCGTTCATAGGTAAGATGACAAGTTTATAGGTTATATTATAAGTGGTTAAGTGATATCGTAAATTTGTTTAGATCGAAAGTTTGTGTTTATTTAATATTGTATCAGCTAATCCTTGTTTTGGAGAATATAACTTCCGTTTTGTTTCCAGGCACATGCGAGCGCTGTTGGTTTGTCTGTTTCTAATACTCTACCCAGTATCTCTGCTGATCTACCTATGGTCCAACCACGTACTCAGCACCTGGCTTTTGGCAGTTTCGGCCTTCAGCGTGGAAGTCATCGTTAAAGTTATCGTCTCTCTCCTCATCTACTCATTGTTTCTGCTCGACGCTTATCGCTCCACTTTCTGGGAAAAACTGGATGACTATGTGTACTACATTCGTGCTTTCGGCAACACGGTGAGTTGTGATTGAATTGTTCACTAAATTTAGTTTTGTAAAAGATTCAAGTAAGTAGACACTCAAAGAATGGGTAGAATTAAAGAATCAAGGCTATTTGAAAATAGGCTTTACCTGCGTAAATTTAGCTCAAATGGTGTAACTGCATAGGTTATGGCCTTTTCAACTTCACAATACCATTGTCAGACACGAAATCTCTGAGTCAGCGTCTTGCTCGGAACAGAAAATGTCAACCAGTACAGTTTGTACGACAGGCCTGTTCGTTTTTGTCAATTTCATTCATATTGTAAATGTTAGTGTGTGATGTGTTTTGACTTCAACGACACTACTTCAGCAGAGATTTTTTTTCTTACAATGGCGTAATGATGCCGAAACAGCCATTACCAATTTAGTTACACCATTTGAGCTGGATTGACAAAGTAAAGCCATAATTTTAGTTACAGCTCAAGGTCTAAAAGCATGGATTTTAACAAAGCCATTTCTCAGTTATGACTAAAACCCAGCTTCTGGAAACAGAGTAAATTGCATTTATTCTGTTTGAAGTAGATATCTAGTTGTTAAATAAGTCTTAATTTTTTATCATGTTAAATTTTGATTTTCAAGATTAGCCAAATTGTACTTTTGTTTCACTTGGATATAGATTATTGGTTTATTTTTGCTGTAAATTGTGGAAAACTTTAATTTACTATTGTTTTTTCCGAAAGCCAAAACAAGAGTACTAATTTAGTAATTCAAATAAATTTGTTTCCGATAACCAAAACTTTTACAAGTGTCACAGCATGGTTTTTCAATCTGTCTTATTGCTAGGTGTTTTGAACTACCACGTTTCGGCAGGTAGGGAAAACCCTCCTGTTTTTAAGCTACGCTATATCTTAACTATATTTAGCTACCTGATTAACCTACCTAACCTAACAGTTCAAGTACGGTACATGAGATTATTAACTTTTCAGCAAACTTGATTTTAAGGTTTTCTAATTTTTGTTATATTTCTAGGTTAAACTAATTAGGTACCGTTGCTAAATGTAGGGTTAGGATATTGGGTTGCTTGAAAATGGTACGGTAGGAGTTTCTATACTTACCCAAACATAGTGTAGTGAATTTTGCCCCATAATTGAAATAACTTAATTATTCTTCTAATAATGACCCTTAAGTTAAAACAATAGTTATTTGTGCAACTAGTGAGAAAAGTGAGCAATTGACTCACTCGAGAGAAAATCCTTACTCACGAGCCGTAGGCGAGTGAGGAATGGTTTCTCGAGTAAGGCAATTGTACTTTGAACTCGAGTTGCACATTATACTTTTCCTACAGTTACCATAAAACAAATAAATTGGTGAAGAAACATAACCTATTTTTACACAAAAGTGAACTTTTAATATAACATTTAACGAGAAGTGACAAATACAACAGTACAACAGCTGACCAGCTGATTTACAGCCAGTGCTGCCAACGTATTTCGCGCGCATACGACGTTGCCTGCATGTTACGCGCTCACTATTTCGTACCTTCACGTTGCAAATCTGGAGTGAGAGAAAGTAATTAGAGTGAGACAATGTTAACATTGTCTCACTGATGAGCAAATTGGCCACTTTGCTTTCTCAAATCAGTGAGAGAACATGTACATTGTTAGGTAACTGTAGGAAAAATAAATTCTTCATACTGTCACACACACTTTTAGACTGGCATATTGTATCATTTTAGGTTGAATTTTGCTTCGGCATATTCCTGTTCTTCAATGGAGCTTGGATATTGATTTTCGAGTCTGGTGGAGCCATCAGGGCTGGAATGATGTGCATCCACGCTTACTTCAACATCTGGAGTGAAGCCCGAGCTGGATGGAGCGTCTTCATGAAGAGACGCACCGCAGTTAACAAAATAGGTAACGAGGCTGCAACCTAAATATAAATATACTGCTGCCGCCAGTCGTGATGGCGCTATCTTTGCTTGCTTTGTGTTTTGTATTGTGTTGTATGTAATTTCAATGTTTCAAAAGCTTTGACAATGTGGTGCTTGTGAAAAACTAGTCAATTTTATGATGAAAGGTTTCAGCTATAGACTGAGGTAAGATGGTCTATCTTATCATAAAAAGAGTCTAAGGACTATAAAATGGATTGTTGAGTCATACAGTGACCAATGAAATGCTGTATGCTGTACGGTATCACAGATGAAACACATACTCAAGAGTAGATTTCTCATCCTTATGAAACAGCTGAAGAAAATTTTATTGTTAGTTCTGTACGGTGTACTGTAGAGGTCGTGTTTTGTTCACAATTTGTTTCTTGTTATTTCAGTCATAAGACCTGGATTAGCCAAATAATACAATCTAATTGTAAACAATAACTCGTCCTCTAGTCATATAACCAAACAGCAAAGCCCAAATCAAGAAATTAACCCTAAGATGGTTGAAACAATATTTTGTCTAAACTAGCGCGCAGTGTCACCGTACATGAACTAGACACGAAAAACAAGCTTCAAAATTTACAATGGTATGGAAACAATGGAAAGTCTACTTGTGGTGTTGGTTAGTCTATGACAGTATGTAGTATTGTTTCTATGAAAGTGTTTTACCGCAACACAAGTTAAGCCGATGTTTTCTATTACTTTTATGTGTATATTGTGAATTTATTTTATTCCATATTGACACAGAGGAATATTTTATGTTTGCAGAAAGCCTACCAGAGGCTAGTGAAGCACAATTAGACAGACTGGACGATGTCTGCGCAATCTGTTACCAAGAGATGAAAACAGCCAAGATAACAAGGTGTAACCACTACTTCCATGGAGTATGTCTCAGAAAGTGGCTCTACGTTCAGGTAAATTGTAGTTGAACAGGAGGTCTACTACGTTCAGGTAAATTGTAGTTGGACAGGAGGTCTACTACGTTCAGGTAAATTGTAGTTGGACAGGAGGTCTACTACGTTCAGGTAAATTGTAGTTGGACAGGAGGTTTACTACGTTCAGGTAAATTGTAGTTGGACAGGAGGTCTACTACGTTCAGGTAAATTGTAGTTGGACAGGAGGTCTACTACGTTCAGGTAAATTGTAGTTGAACAGGAGGTTTACTACGTTCAGGTAAATTGTAGTTGGACAGGAGGTCTACTACGTTCAGGTAAATTGTAGTTGGACAGGAGGTCTAACTACGCTCAGGTAAATTGTAGTTGAACAGGAGGTCTACTACGTTCAGGTAAATTGTAGTTGGACAGGAGGTCTACTACGTTCAGGTAAATTGTAGTTGGACAGGAGGTCTACTACGTTCAGGTAAATTGTAGTTAAATAGGAGGTCTACAGCGTCCAAGTACAGATTGAATCATTTTATTCAACAATAAAACATATTTATTGTTATGTAATTACATTTTACACAATGTAATGCTTGTATATCATAATGTTGATTAAATTTTCGCATATTAATTATAAATTCTTTTGCATTTCCCTGAGTTTTCCCTAAAAGAAAATCCCTAATAAAACCCAGCTGATGAAGAGTTTACTGTACCCTTATTTTTAACTCATCTATGTTTGATTTCAGGATCGCTGTCCCCTTTGCCATGACATACTGTACAAGGTGGAAACTGAAACAAAAGAGGAGGGAAGAGGGAGGGAGACAGGAGACCCTTTACTTATTCCCCCACTCCCAGCAGACGGGGATGATATTCATAGGGGATGAACGAGGTGCAAACGAAATTCACATTTTAAAAATATCTCCCTACAACTAAAGCTACGTAAAATAGTAGGCCTACTTAAAAATTGTTATCCAGAAACATGGACTAAATTGACAATTAAAATTCATTTTTATAGCCCCAGGATTGCGTAATATGACATATAATGGTTAAAACATACCTCGTCAGACAATCCTTAACATGTAGTGTCGATGTTGCTACATATGTTTCGGCGGTTATTTACTGATCTCCGCCATCGTCAGGCAAACAAAAGGATCCACTTGATGTGTCGTCAGAATAAATAAATAATACACACATTTTACAAAACACAAAAACAAAAATGATAGACCTATCAATTACACGCACTGCCGTGGACATGGCAGGAAGCAGACTAAATTGACAACTATTATGTCAATAGTTTGGTTCGTTGTGGAAGATTAAAATACTTGGCTCGATAATAAAGACACTTGCTAGTCGAACCTTATCAGTAATTTGACGTTAAGATGAATATTGATCATTCTATATTACGAATGATATCATATCGATGAATCACGTCATTTGTAGATATCTGCAGAGGACTGGAATTTAATTTTTTGTGTGCAAGGAGTCTCATATCTACAAAGTTAAGGTGTTACCTTCGTATTAGATTTTTTTTAATTTTCTTCGAAATACATTAATTTAATTCTACTTGTTTTAGGTTGGTTAACATCAAATTGACTTCCTACTCCAATGAAATACTCCCCACAGGGTCAAGACAGTGAAGCACTACAAAAGACTTTGTATCACAAGCTACTCTTTGTTTTAGTAAATTATAGCTAGCTCGACATGTAAATTACCCTGTACATATATACATAACATTTAAGGTACTTATTGACGGTTTATATAATGTGTGTAAATGTGTTTAATAAAGTAGGTAAGATTTAATTACGAGTATTATTTAAGTTCCCTTCAGGGCCGAATCTAGACAATTTTTGAGTAGGGGCAAACTAAAATTTGCTGCCCCTCCCCCCCCCCCTGTAGTCTGCTGGGTGGGAAAATAATATACCCCATCTGAAAGCATTCGGAAATAAAGTTTTATTTATCGGTTAAGAAATAGATCAGTTATAGTTTTTCAGGTAACAAGGCTAATAAACGTTTTTAATGTTGTAATAAATTGGAAAAACCAATGTTTACTTTCTCCCCTTATACATAGTACAGTACCTATACCGTATGGAGAAAGTATTGTAGCCTATTGTCAAAATCTTCCAGATTGAGTTTTGAGTAGATATATCCGTTTTGGGTCTCCCTGAACCAAAAAAGTGGTTTTTGAAGTGATGTGTGTCTGTATGTGTGGATGTGTACAGAGCTATTTTGTTGAAATTTGGTATGCAGGTTTAGTAGGTACCGGTACTAATTCATGGTATCTCCAGGCGTTTTTCATGTTTTTGAAATTTAGATTTTTAATGGTGATTTTCCCATCAAACAACAAAAAAAATCAGATTTTCTTGAAAATGGCCTGAACCATTTTGATAAAACTTTAGTATGTTATAACTTTAGTCCTTTATATTTTGAACAAAATGGTTCAAATACCATTTCCATAAAAATTACGGTTCAAAAGTTATTGTAACTTATGTTATTTTCTCATAAAACCCCCATAAAAAAATCTGATTTTAGGAAAAAGTCGATTTTGATTAAAATTAATGTGTGATGGTCCTTATAATAAAAAAAGGTGCAATCCCCCATTGCTGTAACAAGTAGGCCTACGGTTCAAAGGTTTTTGCAAGTTTTGTGATTTTTCCCTATAAAATAGCATAGTTGCTCCCTCCTCTTACCAATGATAAAGGTTGTTGACAAGCTTATGGGAGAAAGTATTTGTCAGATTGCTGATATAGGTACCTTTTATTATCTCATAAATCCCTGTTCCCATAACCCATCAAATTGGGCCAGTGCCTAACAATTCTTTTTTATTACGGTAATGTGTGGCTGGACTTGTTACTACAATTAATTAGGGTAGGTACTTAAAAGAACTAAGTTACAAGGAAGCTTTTGGCTTAAATAGGCCTAACAAAAACAAATATAAATCCCTAGGCCTACAGTACTTTTTTCCTACCACTGCAAGAAATTGATCACATTGCTACGTACCTAAGGTCGATTCACACACATCAGTTACGACACGTTGCAGTCCAGTTACTTCAGGCACGTCACAGTTAACAAAAATATTCAGATTTCTTTTCGCCGATATTTTTGGATTATTCGGACACCTGACGGACGTGTTTTAGGTTAGAAAATAGTGTTTAGTTATTTAAATGATTGTGTTGATATTTTGAGTACTGTTTGTAACAATCAACAAGATGGACGATGAAAATTTAATGGAATATAGGTCTACAATTAAAATTTTTTTCTGTAAATTACTGTAAATATGAGAGACGGAAAACTGACTGTAACCAACTGACGGACAGTTCACTGAGAAATTGCGGATGCAATTGAGACTGAACTGTAACTGGACTGTAACGGAACTGTTACTGAACTGATATGTGTGAATCGACCTTAAACAGAATGCAAAATACAGTAGGCCTCACTTGGCGGCGGCACGGCAGTGAGGCAGGGCGGCATGGCGCCTTGACTGGGATGGCGATCAGCTGAAATTGTAAACAAACTTTGCTGTGCTGCTAACTATGCTATTAGGGCTCTCAGTGTTTTCTACTCCGTTGCAATTTATATTGATTGCTATTATTGTTTGTTTATTACGTTATGCAGTTTTGAAATTACTTAATTGACGTTCCTTATGACGTTTGGCTCATTAAAAACTTTTACAAACTGTATTAAACAAATTTTCTGCAACCAGAAATTTGCCGCCCCTCAACCCTGCCGCCCGGGGCAACCGCCCCCTCTGCCCCCCCCCCCCCCCGTTCCGGCCCTGGTTCCCTTTGTAGACTATAATGCTTGTATTGATTGCAACGATATATCTTAGTGAAAATTGTTGATTTCATTTATTTATAGTAAAAAAACAATATTGTTTCCTTAATGGTTTGAAATTTCTATTATATTTAGCTTTTTTGTCAAAAACTAATTAATACAATTTTGTTGACTGTAGCAAAACTGTAACAAGGATTCTAAGAACTCTTATATGTATTTTATTGCACAGTAAAAGCACCTCAGACGCTTTTAAGGTTAAGTAGTTCAATCCCCTCGAATTTTCTTTGGCAACACAGGGATCAACCCTGTCACCTTTTTTTAGCAAAGTCCAAGACTTTGATCCATTCGGCCACTCGGATAGCCTGTTTTGGTGACATTATGTAGCACCTATTTGAATTCAGACATCGAAACCAATGTTTTATATTAACAAATGAAATGTTAGCTGCACTAGGAGAAGAGTGCATTTAAATCTTGACTAGAGAAGTAATTTGTTTTCTCCTTTTTAAATACAAAATCCCAGTTCAGCCTACAAATTAACAAAAAATTACTGCAAAGAATGCATTGTAATTAATATTGTAGCATTATGAATTTGCTAACTGCCATCTTGGCTTGATTTCAAACAGTTGTTGATGGGTTATTTATCATCCCAAATATTTTTTAAATACTAAAGTGATTGTAATTTAAATATCTAAGGCACTGTGGGATTATAAGTTTTCTTTCTAGTTTTGTAATTGTTGTAATTCGGAAATATGGCCCTGGGAATATGTCCACAATAGTCTGTTTGATAATGAATACGGTAATTTTTTAAATAGCCCTCTTAAACCACAAAAATAATTTACCTACAGTTTTTTAAATCACTCAATACTTAACTATAATTAATCTGTAGCCATATTTCAAGTAAAAAATATGCATTTAGAAAACGAATAGCTTATTCTTCACATATTTTACACCTTTGTGTTTTAAAGTAGAGCGGAAGTCACAGCATTGCTTCTCAAATAAGACATAATTATTTATTTAATTCTTTTAATTTATCAAACATTATTTAATGTACACTTTGAGTTACAAGTTTGATATGTAAAAACCACGTGGAAAAGTTTATTTCAGAAACTGAAAGTTTTCATGTCCCGGGTAGATCATATCAATCGACAGAATCTCTAGAACCCGTTGAGGCTAAGGACTCTTCCGAATTACTCCACAACACAGGTGAGTGTGATACGTCTGAAAACGGTTGATCTGAGTCCCATCGAGCTGACGTACTAGAAGGTGTGGTCGTCGGAGTTTCTGTTTCATCGATGGAAGAGCCCCAATCCATGATATCTGCAAAGTCAATGTCAATAACCTTAGCATGCTTGATGGATTTTATCGTGGATGAAAAGTTTGACCAATCCGATTCGGAAAGAAAATACAAAGGATGTTGGTGCATATTGCAGATGGCGCTGTCTGAGTAAAACCTGTACTTTGGTGGATCTTTGATCACGAATGCGTGACAATTCATGGGGCCTTTGACAACATTTGCGTACACAGTCCAATCCATTATCTTAACTCCTGCCCACCAATATCCCATATCGCCCTTCAAAAAGTTAAACATGTTGCCTCTATTTACTTGCTCTTTGACGGACAAACTGTCAGAAATCACTCTTCCGAGGAACCAAAATCCGTACACTAAAAGTTGGGAAAATTTTTCTTTGAATCTCTCTGGAGTTTGCTCAAAGTCTAATGCACACACTAATGACGGTTTTATCTTGGATTCAGCTCTCTCGGCAAGCAGTGCAATGAGCGGCATGAGTCTAGGAAGTGATAGGAAACCGACATTTTCTATGTAACTGCAGACATCCGGAACCCCCTTGGCTTTCATGAGTTCTTTACACAACTCGATGCTGGCTCTTTTCCCTATACAACCCGTGCGAAGAAATTTTACAAAATCATCCTTCTTGACTCTCCTTAGTTTTTGCTTGTAGATTGTGTAGACATGTAATAAATTGACAAATTTCTTTTCATCCTCGGACTCTTTGTTGACAACTACTGGATTTTCTACTTGGTTTTGTTGAGTTGACTTTGATGGATTTTCCACAGGTTGATTATTTTGGGCTGGCTTTGTCCTGAAATCAGATAAAAAAGTGTTTTTTAGCTAAGCTGCTGTCTTAAACGTATAGACATGTTCATCCTTTACAAAAATATTGTGAACTGTTAAAATCTGTTTAAAAGATTTCCCAAAGCTGTGTTTGTGTAGATATAATTTACCTAAGATTATTGTGCAGGCCAAAATATTAACTACAGTAGAACCCCGGTAAACCGAAATAAAGGGGGGAGAGCAATTTTGCAAAACCAACTTTTTGATTAACCCGTTATTTGCTAAAAATAGCCTAAGCTGTGTATGTGTACAATGTGTAGGAAAAATGAATTTAAAACAATGTCTATATACAGTGTTTTATTTCAACTACAAAATGTTACAATGGGTTAGAAAAGCCCCCAAGAGAGAGGGCCTTGGCGCTTCGCTTTGCTGTTTACATAATACTTATTGTACTTATATTTTAGCAATGAGTTAATTTATGGAACCATTTCGGTCGACCCGGGTTTCAGTTAACCCAATTTAGGTTAACCAGGGTTCTGCTGTAGGCCTAACTTACAAGTTTTCTTATAAAAGACAACAAATTTGGTTCTCTATGTTTTATGGCAAAGAAATTGGAACCTAAATTGTAGTTATAAAAAATACAAATATACCTAAGTAGACTGATTATGTGAATTATGATTTTACTAACAAAATATGTTTGATATTATTAATATCTAGTGAAGAAAATCCTAAAAACATTGAATTTTTACATTAACACAGGACGTTTCTTTAACTATCATGAAAAAGTGTGTTCACAGAGCAAAATTTTTGGGTATTGACAATCGGAACCCTCATATTGACTATTTCTAGGCCTATCTTCAAAATTACTAACTTAATTGACCTTGTGAGATGCCTAAGACACCAAATTCCAACTTAATTTAAAAAAAACACATACCGGTAGGTAGGCCTACCGTAGCCTACTTATTGCTGCTTACTTACAAACCATTATAAGAAAAGTTAATAAGATATTGGTCGATATTCTATGATGGATACAGCAAGATTAAAAACAAATTACAAAAAAAAGCTTTAAGGGTAATGAACGGATGAAATCGGAATGAGCACTGTAAAAAACTAGCGGATGCCTTATGATGACATTGTGTGAACGAAACGTGTCGCAAACTTAGAGAAATGAAATACCAGAAGGTAAAAACATCAATATTTATTAAAATTTGATATTCCAAGTGGGAAATGAATTTTAAAGTACCGTACTTTGTCAAGCAACTGGTGCGCCTCTTTAAGTTATGTTTTTAGCCTGGGGGCAAGTGTCTCGAACGTTGATGTGAGATGTAAGTTAGCCGTACAGGTTTAATTTCCAGCACATCCATTAAAACATTTAATTAATGGGTTTGGACCGCTTTCCCAAAAGTCTTCTTAGGCCCAGGGAACACGGTGTGACTGTTTTACAACTGTCATTGCAAACCAGTTTCGCTGTTTTGTAGTCACAAAACACAATACAAAATCACTCTTCACTATAACAAAATCAAAAACAGTGAAAAAAATATTGTATTTAAGTAATGTAATGTATTGCAGTGGGGAGGCGCATACAACGCAACTGGTTGTATGCGATTTCAAAAAACGTTTGAAACCAGTCACATACAACCGTGGGCCCGACGTTGTAGTTGCGTTGAAGACTTCAGTTGCAAGAGACCACGGGGTGTTTTTGTGGTGTTTGGTGGTATTTTAACGGTCGTGTAGTGTTTGTAGTGTTTAGAATTTCCTATCCGACTAGCTCTAGCTGCTACAAACAGTCTAGTACTAACATTCTTGCTCAAATAAGGGTGAACCCAATACTCTCTCAGTACCCTTCGCTGTCTTTGGTATTGATAATAGCTAATAACGTCTTCTTCGTCTGAGTCTGACGTAGTAAGCACACTTAAGGCCATAAAACAACGTAACTGCACTAAATTGACACTCCACTGATTGCACAATAGACGCAACTGTAGGCCTAGTTGTAAAACAGTCAATTCGTGTGTGGAGAGAAGCTTTGTTTCAGTTGCAAACTGGTTTCAGACGCAACTGGTTTGCAACAGTTGTTGTAAAACAGCCACACCGTGTGCGCTGGGCCTTACGCCTTCATTTAGAAATGCCACTTGTGTGGCTTAGGCCAAGTGCACACGGTGTGAAGGTTTTACAACAACTGTTGCAAACCAGTTGCGTCTGAAACCAGTTTTCAACTGAAACAAAGCTTCTGCACGCACGCGCAATTGGTTTGCAATGACAGTAGTAAAACAGTCACACCGTGTGCGCTGGGCCTAAAAAGTATTACAAATCTAGAAACAAACAAATACTTATGCAGAGCCAAATTGCACAATATTTTCTAGGATAACTCCTTGTAGGGCTTGTTGATACTTACCGGGTTTGTTTTGATTGTTTTTTCTTTCCGCCCATATTGAGAGGATGAGATATGTGTGTTAGGTTATAAGGACTAGACTAGTCAATAAATTGGAGACGATTAACTTAGATACTAAAACTCGGTAGTCGGTAACTGACAATTGAAAAGCATCTTAAATTTACAATAATGAGTAAGGATATACAAATACAATAAATTATTAAGTTGTGGAATACCAAATAACGAATGACCAAAAAATAGGAACAATAATACAAATGATTCAAAAAAAGAAATAATAAATGGACCAAGCAAATGGTTTCTTTTCCATAACCACAAAAGAAAGAACAGACAACACTGAACTTGTGAACTGATAGACAGTAGACAGACTTTGACTTTAGACTTGCCACCGCACAGCTGAGATATGATGTAGTGTAGCGGAGTACCATTTTTTTATGAAACGGCTTGGTTTACAACCGGTAGTTTAAAACCATGAAGCTTATGTTAGTGGATGTTACTTTTAGATTTTGATTTTTATGTCACTGCTTGGGGACCACGTCCAATAAAAGGTTATTTGAAAAAAGATCAGAAATTTCATACTAAACACATTATGTGTTTAAATGTCTTTTAATTCAACCCATGGTGACCGAATTCATTTTTATGTCCTCTATGACGGCCTGCAGGATCAGAGCTAGGAGTTTGCAAGACTATAGATTAAAAATTAATCTATGACAAGACGTTTTGGAACTTGAATACCGGTACCAGAACAACCAATAACAATTTTTAACTGATATTTAAAATATTTTTACAAAAAAGATTGTTTCTTAAAAAAATGATAATTTATTTTTCGTACTTTGGAAAAATATATTTATAGTGCGTATACATAACCATATTTTGAAACCCCCACTTCTCCATCCACCGAAGGTCCATAATATAGCGTTATAACTAGGGATTATAATAGACATTCATATCCCATGTTAATGTTGTAGCATAGACTAACTAAAATACTAGTATCTTTAATTTATGGCATTAATCAGATAGAATAAAAAAGAACTTACAGTATCTGAATATTGATTATTCGCCAGACTGTGCGATGTGCGACTGTCAATCGCCATACAATTTCGTTCAAGGCAATATAATTAATTTTACAAACAACCGTAGATTAGTTAGTATCCTGAATCTATGGTGCAACCATCAATCTACTACTGAACTCATCCAATACTCCAATAGGGCTTTAATTATACATCTGCCATTGTAGACATTTATAGTATGATTTTTTTTAGATAATGAATGTTGGTAGTCTACTTAATTTTGGCGCTCAACTGCAGATTTGGCGTCCGCGTAACATCAAACCACCAATAAGGCGAGCTTTAAAATACAGGCATAAAATATTCATACGCGCTCAAACGGTCACCGTGTTTCTGGTATCCTCCACACGATATTGTTTTATATTTTTAGTTGCTAAATAATATTAATTTGAATGATAAATATAGTTATTATTTACATTTAGTTCGGCTAACATTACTAAATGAATTTTCCAGAGAAACAACCAAGCTTGAACTTTGGAACTACTTTATGGAAAGGCTTTGCTTGTCCGTTAACAGTCCAAAATAATTGTGTCGGATTTGATTTTATTGAGCCAAGTTAGCGTTTTGCTTTGTTGTTTACAAGTGTGTTTGAGTTTAGTTTGTATAATGTAACTGGTCTAATGTAACTTTCCGCAGAATTTTACTTAGGTGAGTTATTAACAATATTAATATAATAGTTTATGGTACATTGGTTAATAACTGTCTCATATCACCTTTAAGTTGAAAGTGTCAACAGTCAAGCACCGGTAAACAAGTTACCACAAGTCTTGTCAATTACAATCTTCTTGGAATCATAAGTTTAATATGTAAGCATATATTCCATTTTTGTGACGAATTAAAATATCCGTTGACCGTTAATCTGTTTTAATATCGCATTGTTGAATGGTTTAGTGCAGCGCCCAATTTTTCTTTCAATATTGGCCTAGGCTAGGCCCTAGCATAGGCCTCTTCTTTGTTGATACACAGTTTGAACATTTTAATGCCTAGGATCAATAGGACATACGGTAAAACCTCACTTAACTTAACTTAGGCCTACTTGATAATTTGTGGACCTAACTTAGCAGTTGTCGAGTTAGCCTATCTAAGTTAAAAACTTAGACATTGGGGTAGGCCTAACTTACAGTTCCGCAGAGATCCTGCAATATAGCCTAGAGGCCCATTATCGGATGAATGACGTTAGAGTATAACTTATAGCCTATCTTATGAATAACTTAAGCCTAACTTATCTGATTCAATGTAGGGCCTAGGCCTATCATTTCTAACTTATGTTTAACTAAACTTACGTCCGGTAACAGGACGTGGATTAGGCGTCCGGTAGTTACTGTGATAACGTAACCTATCTTACCTAACTTGTTGATAGTGAAAAAAATCCAAAACTTAACCCTTTAAGTGCCACCCAACGATATATCGTTTTGCACAACACATCTGAATAGGCCTAATACTTCACAACGATATATCGTCGTTGCTAGTCTTACCTAAAAATACATTGCAACAATATATTGGACCGGCGCGACTTTTGATCATGTGAGTTTTAATGGGCATATCGGTTGACTCAGTTGTTAGGCCTATTATAAAACAATGATGATTTAAATTGATTTATCATATGATCGAGGCACGATAGGCCTATATTGTTTCATGGTACTTTTGGGATGAAAATTCATAAGTTACTTTTACAGATTTTTATTCTTGCGCACTAGGCTTCGCCCCCGCGGCAAGCCTGGCACTTTTCGGACGTAAGTTAGGCCTACCTAGTAAAAAACTCTCTGTCACTTTTCGGAAAATACTTATCAAAATAAATTTCTGGCACCCAAAGGGTTACAGTAACTTAATGACAGCCTTAAATCCTAACAAATGATGTACCGTAGGAATAGTTTTAAAAAAATTGCATTCTAAGCAAAATCTTTTGACAAAAAGTTAGCGCTACCGATGGGATTTGATCTGGATACCTCTTGGTCATCAGCCGAGTACTTTTTCGCCTACACTACGAACACCAATTGGTTGCTCATTGTATTGTTGTGTGGTAATAGTGTTCCGGGCCCTAACAACCCAGTAACATCACTGCTGGACGCCTAATCCACCTCCGATTACCGTACGCGTATCCTCTGCTTTTATTCACTAGGTAGCCTAAGTTAAGTTAGGCTATAGGCGTATGTATAAACATCGAATAAAGTTATGATCAAAACTATCTATAAAAACAGTAAACGTAGGTAGGCCTAACTTATATTAAAAAGCTAACTTCAAGTTATGATAACTTTTAGTCTTTTTTAGTTTTTAATAAATTAAAGTAAGTTACTGATGATAGGCCTAAAAATGCATAGGATTTTAAAATTAATTGTTTCCCCCCATCTTTAATCATAATTTAAGGTACTTTCCTGTTAAAGGGAACATTCATTAACTTGTTATTGACGTGATTTTTTCTCTCGATATATCAATATTTTTGTTTTTCTTTACAATCCATAAAAAATTAACTTTAATCTATATAATTAATACGCTACATGAAAATATGTCGGTTGAACTCCTCCGCCATTTCTTAACCGATTTTATCCATTGACGTCTCATTGGAAAGAGCGTGTCAAGTAGATTTGCAAACTGGCCTTACATTTTTTTTAAAGTCCCATGGGCTCTGCCCCAGTGGCTTTGAAGTTCCCATGTTATCCTTATGAAGAACATAATTGTTTACATTTTGATCAGCTGTATAATTTAATTGTTGTTATTTATTTTTTAAATTCAATGAAACGCATTGAGTACATTTATTTACTATTTGGGTTTGTGTAAACATAACCCCAATACGGATCGTGATAGTATGGTTGTATCTATTTGTGAATTTATCGTTGTTTTGTGTCGCTATGACGGATCGTGTTAGCATTAGGCTATTGTAACTTAAATTTGTGCATTTATCGTTGTTTTGTGTAGCTATAATTTGTTTATTTGTTGTTTTATTCTTTTAATTGCCTCCGACGCGACGACAACGACACATATAGACAGGAGGTGTAATCATGATAACGACCGCAGCTACAGAACAGTGGCGCGTAATAGGCTTAACTCATCACAGTCAGCACCTGACCCTGGACCATCTCAACTATTAGGTTACAAATGCGCCCCAACACTACCCCAAAACGACTTTTCGTTCTCAATTGGCCCTCTATCAATGACCTGTGTTTGCCTGTACAGCGAAGCATTTTGAGAAGGAGAAAACCGGCCGGAATGCTTTAGGTTTATCAATAACGAAGATAAACATGGTCTGTGTTACACACCAGCAATCTTTGAGTTGACTCTTTTAAACTCATTGTAAATATGACTGTTATTCGTTTTGAAATAACTCCTGTAATACTTTGCAATTGCTCGAATTCGAGCAACATGTACACTAGTATGGATTAAGAAATGAAACTGTTCTAAACTAACCTAACATAACCAGTGACCAAACTTGCTGTACTGGTACCATTTAAAAATTCCGTTTGATAACAAAAAGGCAAGTGGGGAATATTAAACGGATTTTTAAATGTTACAGTAAGTTTGGTTAGTTTTGTTAGGTTAGTTTAGAACAGTTTCATTTGAATACATTTTCTAAAATTATTGTTGATAGGGCCTACTGAACAGTATCGTTGTTGTCAGCTGATAGGTTTCAATTCGTTAATATCGATAGGCCTACATCAAGAAATAAATCATCGATAATAATGAATGTTCCCTTTAACAGGAAAGTAGGCCTAAGTACCTAAGTTAGTTTTAAGAAAAGGTTACTTTAATAAATTAAGGATAAATTAAATCGCAAAAAGATTCTTTAATGTTTTTGATTAGCCTACTGTTATTCATACGGTATGGTTTTTATAAGTTACATAATGGATGCAATATTTAAATATAACTTAAAGTCGCCTAACTTAAGATATCAAAATTGAAAATTCGTTTGGATACACTTATATAGTAATTATCTATACTTAATTAAGTAAGGTACCAATAAATGAATAGCCACATGAAGTTAAGTTAAGCAGGCTAATTTTAGCGAATTTCCCATATAGGGAATAAGCTATTACCGTAGTACTCATGGTATGACCTGGACCCGAGACCGATCTAATTTTTCATTTTGAGGTCCCTAGAGGCCAAAAACACCATCCGTTCAAATTCATATATATATATATTTATATATATATATATTTATGTGTCCGTTAGCGCGATAACTCGAGCAAAAATGATTCGATTTTGATGAAATTTGGTACAAACGTGTAAACCTACGTTTATTCGAACGAGTTCGCGATCCAGCATAATCGGACCATG